CTCACTGTGAATGGACCTTCTCTGGTTTCTTTCTCCCCTAGTATTTCCTTCGCTTGGCTATTCGGTGTGTTGCTAATGAGATGATGGAAGGTTGGATGGCGCGACGCAGGTTGGTGGGTGAGCAGTCGTCGGTTGAGAGGGCTTGTGGTTGGCAAAGTGGAAGATTGAAAGTGGGAGGAGGGGAAGCTTTACGTATGTGGTAGGTGGGCGCGTTCTACATCTGCTGCTGCTGGGGTTCGTGGTCATCAGTGACCCGCTTGAGGTCCAGAACAGCGGGTATGTGGGGGCGGCTACATAATGATCGGAGCTTCTGTTGGCCAATCAAGTGTGTTGGTGTTGAAAAAGTATCTATGAATACATGTATCTATGCAACTACACTTGGTTGAAGACTTACGCCTGCCGACTGATATACAATACGAAAAGCAATGGAACAGCTCGCCTCCTCCAAGGGCCAGGTCGGCTCTATACATTTGGCTCATTCAAGCACCTCTCTGACGGGCAATCCATAGTTGCGCTTGAGTGCTCGCTCAACCATCAACTTTGGACATAGCTTGTTAATATTCCTGAGCTTAAAGTAGCCAGCGGGACTCTCAATTCTTCATCCCATAGGTACCATATGCTCAAAATAGGCTCAATCTATTCGCATGGCCTTGGTATCATAACGGGGCATGCTCTGCTCTTTGTTCACCGCATGCGTCCATCAGCACCAAAACTCTTCTCCTCGGCAAATTTCCTTCAATACATTGTATTTACGAGACAAAGGACATATCACGAGTGCACTTCTCCAAGTATTCAAGGCCAGCAGAAGGCCCCATCGTCAGCATCGTTTCCCCATCACCAACTAAGAGAGCCCATCCTCTCAAATCATGGGGTACCTTTCTTTCCGGAAAAAACAAGCCCGGCAAGGCGGCTTACCACTTTCCCCTGTAAGCTAACTCCATATTCTGATAGCACCGATATTCACGAGCAAGGTCTGCATCATCGCGCGCGCTCTTGGAAGAATGACCTTGTATCCTCCACAGCCACCTGGGCTAGAAATGAATCAACTAACCAAAATCTCAAATGGAGTGGAATGAGAGGTTTCATTCAGTAGCAGATGAGTCGATAGGATTACGCCCAATATGGATCACGAGACGCGATTGTAGGTTTTATCTTTCAACATATTACTCTTGACAACACAAGGTGCTCAAACTTTTCTGCTTCTCAGTCAAATTCGACCGTTCTGCACTTGCACCCGAGTTTCCGCGGCTTCATCCGAAGTTTTACTGTGACGTACCTTCCGAGCTCGCCCAAAACCCCCCTCGAGCTCAGCCTCCTCGTGATGGCGTTGAATGGGACAGATTATTCACGACTGAGAGAGGACATCAGAAATCGTATTTCCATGGCCTTAAAACCTGGGAGGTTGCCGCCCTTAACCGATGGATGAAATTTTCGACTGCCACCGGAGAGATTTCCGGTGGTCATAACTCTGCTGATAACCAAACCGATCTTCTAAATCTATTCAAGGCAGAAATGTTCCAAGTAGACGAGAATGGCTGGTTCGACTTTCTGAAAAAAGATCGTTGGTAGTGAGTTCTTCATTCCTCCATCTCGCATGCTGAACTTGTCAATGCAGTCAAAGTTTTTGTATAATTGAGCCAATGCACTAAGGGCTTGTTCTTTCTAGCGATATCGTCGACGATCCAAACAATCCATCACCAAACCCTTTTCCTTCTTTTCCCCAATCAGTGGATCAACCACAGGTGTGGGCAGAACTGAGGGTTGTGCTCGAGTTAGCCAATAGAATGCTTCGTGCCCTCGTCTCGGATCGAAATACCTTGTAAGTGTCGCCTCAGGCCTCGTCAGAAACATTTCAAGAATTCAAAAATTGATCCATCTATCACCAGTCTCGAAACAGTCCTATTTGGAAGAATAGCTTATTGGAAAGACGTAGAGACCAATCCACAAACGCCGTTGGACGATGCCTTGGTTCTGCTATCACCTGCGGGGGAACAGCGTCTTGCAACTAAGAACAACTCCAAACCCTGGAAAAACCAAATAGAAGCGCTTTCTACTGAGGCGGAAAAGATAAAAGAGGTGGGAATGGCTTGTTAGTACTATCCTATTGGAATTGGCAATCCAGCAATACCTGAATAAATGTACTTTTCAGGTTCCTTTTCACACGAGTCTTTTCTGATCATATGGTTTTAACAGTGGAGAACGAGGGTACTCACCAGGCGTGGTCTTTTCATGTTGATGAAGATCCTGGGGGTCTCCTTGGCCTCACTCGGTCTACGCGCAACGAGATGAATTTCACTTCTTTGAATACCGAGTTCATCAGGCAACTAGTCATAGGAGGGCTCACTCTGACAGAGCGTTGTATGTTATACTACCACATGGCAGTTACGGTATGTCAAGCATCTCTCGAGCACATACATGTCCAGGTGTCTAATCTCCTATTCACAATAGATAATGCAGTATGTGATATTGATAGGGGATTGTCTCATGTCTACCTTTATGAATTCAATTCTTCATGGCCATATGCAGAGCTTTTTACTACCTTAATTCATTGCTGACTTGCCTTCTGTTGAAGTGAATACATGCACAGCATCATGGCAAGACGAGTCTACTGTTTTCTGGGCCGAGATCGGACACAACCGGAGCCTGTAACGACTCCCAATAGAGATTGTCATGACGTTCTGCCTCGTTTGGAAACTAAAAAACTATTACTAGTTCTTTGATTTTGATTCGGCTTCTGAAATAGGCGAGGCTATGGAGCTAAGGGGTAAATATCACCCGATCAAAAATGGTTTTCTGTTTAGCACATTGTTACTAACGGATGATCACTCGCGCTTAGTACTCGGAGGCAGAAACACTTTTGGTCGTCAGTTGCCCTTCATCAAACTATCCTTTCTGGCTTGTCGTACAGGCTCACCAGCCACAAATAAATGGTGGGCATACGGTCGGCAAGCTCTATAGAAACGTTTTCTATGCACCCGTGTCACCAACTTAACTAATCAAGTTTCATCGCAGCTTTTGCCCATGACCCACCTATTATGTGGTGGGAAAGTGACGTGAGCAAACGCTAGAGCCGCTCTCTCCCCATACTAGAGGCCTTTGGGTTTTCCGGCATCAATGCAGAAATTAAGTACTGACTCCAGCGTGATAGTGGCCAAACTGGTACACGGCAAAAGTGTACCCAGGCATCGATACGCGACTCAACCATGCCACTCAGATTACCCAGGTATACAGGCCCCCCATGGACGCTGGCATACTTCTGTCTGCCGAGTTCTGGAATGATAGCAAAATTGCAAAGAAGAGCGAGAACTTGTGTAAGTAAAACCCTCACACCCCTCTACTACAGCTCCTGTTGAGCTGGCCAAGACGGACCAGGATATCCTCCCTGTAGTGTCATTGCTGAGCCTTCATGTATATCAGTTCACCGCACAGTCCTGTTTCACTCGCAACCGAGAAGATGGAACGGCGCCCCGATGTTTGGTCTTCCCCCATTCTGGCCTGACGTTGAGGTCGATCGGTCGAGGGAAAGCACTTGGGAGTCTCATCATCGCAAAATAGTAGCAAGATGGGAGGAATTACAAACTTTGTGGAAATCTGCTCGAAAGGACTGGTATCCAGATCACTTGAAGCGGTGGTGGAGCTCACCTGTGAGTGATTTTCAGTTGTTGACCCTTTCCCATCGCCTTACTAATGCTAACCTGATGGACCATGTACCAGTGGTGCATGTTTTATACTGTGCGCAGGAGCATTGAGAATTTCAAAGCTCCCTTTGACAGTGGGCAGGAGTATAAGTGTTGGGAGTACTTATGTAAGATGAGCGTTGCGGGGAGCACCCGCATTGGGTTCACGGACTGGACAGGAAAGACTGCATTTCTCGACTCATTACCAACCAACAAAACCCCAACAAATTATTGGATCGTTTTCTCCATTGGTAGGTGTTGCTTTCCATGAGAAATGGGGGGGGGGGGGGGGGGGGGGGGGGGGGGGGGGGGGGGGGGGGGGGGGGGGGGGGGGGGGCCG